TGAGATTTGAATCAAAAATTTTCGAATAAAAAAATGATAAATTTCGATGTAAATTTCTTTTTCGAAATTTAAAATTATATATTTTGTTAGTTTTCCGGTACATAAAAAACCGGAAAAATAAGCTTGAATGATTTCATCAGGCATTTGTTTTATTTGTAAAGCAATTATTTGTTTAAGATTACAGTTTTCTGATTGCAGAAATTATTGCAATGAATAGAAAATAAGCCTAAATAGGAGAAAAATAAGGAATATGAAATTTCATTTTGAAATGGTTTAATTGAATTGCACGTTTTAATAATTTTATCAATTCTCTTATAAATTTGCAATTACTTTTTTTCTTTATTATATGATGCATAATTATCATATCATTCATGTTTGTAATTGATATACATATGGATTATATGTGATATTGTGATATTAACACATTTTACCTTTTTAAAACTTTTATAATAATTCAATTATTAATTTGTTTATTTGAAAATTCAGGCATAATAAATTTTTCAAAATTCTGTTTTAAATTATTAATTTTGTTAATATTATTTAAAACAATAATTATTGATGAATGTATTAAAACGTAGCAAAATTTTATTCTATGACAGATAGTGACAGATAGCATATTTTGTTATTTTGCTAAAATATCATCCAAATTTATGTATGCAAAAATTCCAGCATTTTTAGGTGCATAAATGACCTTGAATTAATCAAAATAATTGCTATTATTAGGTTTTTAATCTGCAAATTTGGCGCCAATCAAATAGAGTACCATTAATTTTTATGCTAACTGAAATAAATTTACATATTCATACCACATTATCATTAGTCTTGTAAGCAATTTTGACACATATATTTACGGTAATGAGACAGTTTTTGATATAAATTTACTGTAATGATATGCTAAATTGTGATGGGTTGTGATGGTACGGATGATTGAAATGATGATGACACAACTATAGCTATGAATTAAATGTCACCAAATGATTGATTTCAAATTATATCTAAGAAATTTGCATATAAAATGTTGTGTTTGTCTGTGTGTTACTTATGACTTGTTGATTTCGTATTAATGAGAAGTTTTCTTTTGTTTTCAGATAATAACTTTTAATTATTAAAATCATGCAAGATAGGATTATTTTTTCAATGTGATAATTTTGAATTTTCGAATTATATAAATGTACAAAAAGATATAATTGGAATTTGAATATAAAAACTTAATCATAAATTTAACAATAATATATATAAGTAATTAATTAGTATTAATAATATTATTTCTTTCCAATTTTTTAAGACGTTAATTGAAACGTATATCGATATATGTATGTACATAAATAGAATTATATAAACGCACAAGAAGATATAATTAAAAATTGAATTAAAAACTTATTCATAAATTTAACAATGTCATATATGTATATAAGTAATTAATTAATATTAATTATATTATTTCTTTCTAATTTTTTAAGACATTAATTGAAACGTATATCAATATATGTATGTATACATAAATATATGATATTGATGAAATATAAATTATATTTAATTACTACTCTTACGTTTTCATTATGGAAAATAATCATTTCCATAAGCAATAAAAAGCTTAGATAATAAAAGCAGAGAAAAATCATTTCTTCTTATAGAGATATATCCATAAATATATTCCATCTTAATTTCTTTTCCATTAATCTTTGATTAATTCGTTTAAAAATTGTTAAATAAAAAATATATTTTTGAATTTAAGTAAAATTAAAATCTATAATTAAATTAATTATATTTAAAACAAAAAGTTTCAAAAAATTTTTTGTAAAAAATATGAAAATGTAAATTGACAAAATTCTTCAAATATTATCATTGATTATCATTTTTATCATTTAACATAGTTTTTCCACCGTTTTCCCGAATCATTAAATAAATGAATGAATAAGTGAAAAATGAAATTATTTATGTAAAATGAAAATACAGCGAAATCATGCAATTTCTGCAAAAAATTCTCCTGGGAATTACCAGATCCAAGGATTGGAAATCTGTTAATAACTCATATCCAAAAATCCAATCTATTTTCTATTTATACATATATTTATGTACATATCTTTATGTGATATCTGTATATATGTTTATATGTGTATATTCAACCTTTTTCCTATGTTCATAAATTAATGATAGAGAAATGATCGGTTACCTTAGATTACCTGAAATGATAAAAATGAGGCTAATTAGAAAAAAGAAGAGAGGAAAAATGAAATATAATAAGAGGTAGAGAGTATAAAAAGAAAGAAAATGTAAGAGATAACAACGAAAGATCTCAATGTATTTATATTTATATATATATATACTTATATTGTAATCAAATTTGCAAAATCGGGCACAAAACTCGTACGACAATCCCAAATCCCAAAGTAATTTCATCCTTTATTCTATTTTATTTTACTCCTTTTCTCACTTCATCAATTTTTGATTACACCTTTTTAATCTCTCTCTCTTCCTCTCTCTTCTTTTGCTATCTTTTCCATATTTAAAATTTTTTCACAATATTTTTGATATCTTATCTTTTATCATTCTTTGTTTATTTATTTATCATTATTTCAAGTATGCAATTCTTATCGATAATTATAATAATTATAATATTTCATATCAACAATTTGAAGATCAAATTTTCACGATGATTTGTTACCATTTTTCTTTTTGAAAATTTTTAAAAAAGTTTAACTAGAAAAAAGATAACAAAATTAAGATGAAATTAAATTAAATTAATTTTAATGAATATAATAAAAACAATAGTGAAGAAAAAATTTGTTAAAAAATTATATTGTTGACAAATAGATCAATTTTAGATAATGTTTGAAATGGTTTTGATGGAAAATACATACATACATGCAAAATGCTTCTATCAAAACGATGACAATCGCAATCGTATAATTGGGGTCACATGGGAGAGAATTAATATAATTAATGTTTGGGTTCTGTATGTAATTTGAGAAACCCTTCAACCATTGCTCACTTTTTCAACATCACTTCTAAAACTCATCACTGTGCTATTTCGTTGTGGAAAAAAAAGGAAACGAAAGAAATTGAAAGAGAAAAGATGAAAATGTGAAATATGAATGCAAACAGTTTGTTAAAGAAAAAGTGAAAGAAAAAAAGGTAAAAAAAAATTTTTTGAAATTTTTAATTTTCTTTTTTTTTTCATTTAAATTTTTTTAAAAATTTCTGATAAACCTAAAATTGGAATAATTCGAAAACGTGCATTTTCACTCATACAACGTGCAATTGTCATTCATTCAAATCGTTCAACGAAAACAGAAATTTTCTTTTTAAATTTCAATTTTATTATAATTTCAAATAACACAAATTAATTGTAAACATTTGACGAATAAAAAAGTTAACGTCAAAATATTAGCTAATATTCTTGCAATAATTTCTCTTGTTAAAAAATTCTTCTTATTCAGTAATAGAAGAAAATTGGTTGCAATCAATCAATTCATTGATTTATCGTCAAAAAAATTGCTTACCATTTGATTTCAAATTACTTATACTTTATTTCAAATGTTTCATATCACATAGTTAATTATAAGCATTGGAAAATAAATATAAGAGTAATAAATGAGAGTAATATTATGTTGCAACCACCAAGATTAGTTGCAATCAATCAATTCATTGATTAATTGGCAAAAAAATTGTTTACCATTTGATTTCAAATTACTTTTACTTCATTTCAAATGTTTCATATCACATAGTTAATTATAAGCATTGGAAAATAAATATTGATTAATAAATATAAGAGAAATAAATGAGAGAAATATTGTATTGCAACAATAACAACAACAACAATAGTAATAAGAGAAATAACAACAACAATAAAAATTTCTACTACTGCTAGCTGAAATATCACGACGTTGAGCATTTTCACGTTCATTATGCCAATTATAATTTAATGATTTTTTTCCCCAATGTTCGCATGAATCCGGTAAATGCTTAATTAATCCGGATTCTTTTAATAATTCCAACAATGCTCTGTAATCATTTTTTCTTTTATAATTTCATCATTCCTGATATTGATTAATTTCATATTATTGCGTAAAATTATTTACTGAAATTTCATCAAATGATAAATATAAGAAGAAAAATACGATTTCTAATGAAAAATTAAATAGGTTGAAAATGACAACGAAAAGAAATAAAATTATGATTAAGTAATTTATGCATAAGCTACTGTAGGAACTTTTAAATCTTTCTACACTTCCGTTTGAATTTATTTTATGCCTTGAAATTTTGATAACCATAATGCTACTATTACATTTATGATATGATATGATATGATCTAATATAACTAATATGATCGAAAACTTTCAAAATATTTTTCTGTAATCATAAGCATCAAATATGATACATATCAAATAATGGAAGAGAGTTTGAATTGAATTGAAATTGAGTCATAAGTCATTCATTTATAAATCAATCAAATTGTTAGCTTTGCATATGCATAATTAACTCTTACTATGTTTCATCGTAGAAGAAAATATATATATATATCAGAACAAAAAAAAACTTATAAAGTGAAAAAAATATAAACCGAAAATTTTGTCGAAATTCAACTTAAATTCAATTTTAATAAAACAAACCGAAAACTTCGTCGACTTAAATTAATTAAAAATTCGTGCATTTTTAAACCACAGAATTTGTTTGATTGCCTTATATAGCATTTGTCATGCATTATGACACTTCTGAAATGACAATTATATATTAATTTTCATTATTATTAATTGTTCATTTTATATGATAAGCTATCAGTTATTCTTATTGATAATTACGAATTACAATAGGCACTATTCAATGATTCCTCAATATAGGAAATTTATATAATTTTTAGATCATCATTAATTATTTCAAATTTTTATCATACTATGTCTAATTTTGTTTTCCTTTTTTCAAATTGTATCATATCCGATTTTTTTGTATTTAATCTTTCCAAATTCTCTTATCACAATCTCCCTGCTGTAATCATTATTCTATCTTTCCCTCTCGGAAATATAACTTTCTAATACTAGCAAATATTTTAATAATTCGTTTGCTAACTTGCATAAATCGTCAAGATGCTCGCTGACCATATGTATACCATTGTCCACTAAGCTTGTTGCTGCATGTTGTAAGGTAGCTGTTTGCGTTGCACATAGCGTTACAACATCATTGCCGTACTTTGACCAACATGGTACAATGTATGATAAAAAATCACCTGAAATATTTGACATCGCAGTGTAATGTAGCATAATGTAATACTTTACTGATAACATCAGTATATGCCTGATATTTCAGATAAAAAATTGATAACAAACCAGTGTTGTAATGATATGCATCACAAATGCTGGTCCATGAAATTTGACCTTTTAGCAATATATGACTAATGGTCTGATCACCACAGCTATTTATGCAACTTTCAAATTCTGCATTTAATCTAAAATTAATTTTACATCTTAACAATTTTTAGTATTGGAAATAGCTGACAATCGCTAAGAGGATTATATTAAAAATAGATGAAATTATCAAAAGGAATATATTACTTAGAGTTCAAATTTTTTTATAGTAATTCTCTAACGATTTTTGTTCTCTACTCTTTACAATAATTTGTCAAGTATTATACATTCATGAATCATTCTATTACTGAACAACGATACTAATTTTATTAAGATTGCTAAATTTCTAACTACGGTTCAGGATATTTTTAAGTTTCGACATTGTTGCAGGTCAGTGATAAATAGTGGAATATGCAACAATATGTAATATTAAGATGACAAATTATACATTTTTTATAATATCAAGTTAAATATCTAATTAAACTATAATATTTCATTGAAGCACATTAGTTAAATATGTTTCATTTAACTTATATTTATCTGAAACTAAAATTACAATGTCTAATTGTGGATAGCCAATAAACTTATAACTTTTCATTTTAAAATATGAAATGATGAAAGGATACTTGCAAATATCTTCAATTCGGTGAGCAAAAATATTGATACGATGACGTAAAGTTTTCGGAAGGCCAATTAATATGGCATGTAAAGGTATTACTAAATTTTTAGTCCAACGATCGCTTTCACCCAAAATACGTGCCATACCATTCATCTGAAAAATAAACAATTTTAAATGTCAAGATAAAACTTCCAATATTTATAATTTTCTAGAAGTTATCTTTGGTTTCTTTCTTAAACTTACAACTTGTCATTTCAAATATTAATTAACTTAATTAAAAAAAATTTTTTATTTTCAAAATTATAAGCTAAATTTTTTGAAGCAAAATTTACTTTCAAAATTACTAATTAAAAAAAAATTTCAATTTGTAATAAAGATAAAATTCAACTAACATTGCTATCTTTACATCGTAGTATACATGCAAGTTGTTGATGTGAAATAACTAAAATCTGAAGAGATGTCAAACATGATAGCAACAAAAAATATTTTTCAAATTTCATCCTTAATATTTCCACATTTGTTTATTATTGTTGTTTACTGCAATATAAATTATTGAAAGATTATTCTGGAATGAGAATAAACAAAGAAAATAAATAATTAAATATTAGAATGATTAATACGGTGATTACGGTGAATTAATACGATTAATACAGTGATTACGGTGAATTAATACGATTAATATGGTGATTAATACGATGAATAGAGTGATTAATATTAATGTTTCTACATTCCTACATTACCTACTTATATTAAAGTATACTAGCAACTTTGCGAAATTTTCCTCAATTTTCAATTTTATCAATTTCAATAAATAGAAAATATATTTGTGGCTGAAAGAGCCACTAAATAAATTACATCGTATCAATGGTAGAATGAAAATTGAAAATGAAATTTAAACATTTCTTCGAAGTTACAAATTTACTTTTTCATTATTTTATAATCGATAAAGTAAGTATTTGTAATATTACACAAAACGAATGTTAAATTTAACCTTTTTTTAATTAAAAAAAGTGCTTAGATTTGTAGCATTCCTTTGTGAGAATAATCAGCGAAAGATAAAAAGTTGAAGTGAAAATGAAGAAATTCAATTTTCAAAAGGAAAAGCAAAAAAAAAGTAAATTGAAGAAATTTTCTAACTAACTTAGAATCTGATATGATCGCTGTCATTTAAATTCATCTACGAAATATTTTAACATTCAAATTTCATCGCGATAATAGTTTAGTTGAAGAATTGTTGAAAAGCTATAAAATAATATTTTAAATATTTGAAAAAGCAAACTGAAGAAATTTCCTAACTAACTTAGTCTGATATGATCGCTACCACTTAAAATCTACAAAATATTTTAACAATCAAATTTCATCACGATAAAAACTTAGTTGAAGAATTGTTGAAAAGCTATAAAATAATATTTCAAATATTTGAAAAAAGCAATTTGAAGAAATTTTCTAAGTCTGATATGATCGCTACCACTTCAATTCATCTACAAAATATTTTAACATTCAAATTTTATCGCAATAATTGCAATAGCTCAGTTGAAGAATTGTTGAAAAGCTATAAGATAATTAACTTAGTCTGATATGATCGCTATTATTTAAATTCATTTACAAAATGTTCTAACATTCAAGTAACTGTAATAGCTTAGTTGAAGAATTGTTGAAAAGCTATAATATATGAAATACTTTTGAACTAATTTGAAGTGTATCATATATTCTGTCAATAAACAATTTTAAAGTTTTTTTTTTCTAAAGTTATTAAAGTTATACAAAATTATAAAATTTAAAATTAAATTGTCGAGAGGAGGAAAAAAGGGCAAAACGAGAAGAACAGAGAGTTTATTTGCTTCAATAGCAAATATGCGAATACATTTTGCAAATGAATTTGCCAGAATCTAACTCATCCAAAAACTCCCGGGGGAAAAGTTCAATCTGCTAAGAATTTGTCTGTTGTACCGATATTGACGACTAGTTGAAAATGATTAAATGTAAGCATTTGAAATTTATTATTCCTTCTGTTATTCTTTAAAATTACTTCCCTTTTATTCTGTTATTGCGATTGAATTATTTGAAGAGATAGATCTTTTACTATACTTTTATATTTTTCTTAAAATCCTTTATTTACTGATTGGCAGGAAACTTCTTCCGGTTTATCTCCCGGCATACCTAAATTTTCCCGGCGCACTTTTCCCGACATTTCCGGCACACCTAAATAATTAAAACATAAAATGCACCAAAAAATTTCTGATGGAAAGAATATAACGACGGAAAATGTTTTAGCGGTAAATGTTTTCAATTGCCTGATTATGAATAAAATAGCGAAGGTGTAATAGTAAATTTTCAGAAATTTATAAATTTCAGGAAACCGTTCAGGAAATCCTGAAATATCCGCAATTTCAATCTTTTATTCATTTAAAAAAAAAAAACCGAAGTTTTAGGAATTCTCAGAATATCAGCAAAAAATCATTAAAATTTCTAATCGTAACATTTCGAAAAATTTTTTCCTTTACCAAAAACAGTATCGAGAACATTTAAAAAATTAACTGGACAGCTTCAGCAAATATAATAAGTGGATAAAAATAATTTTTTGCTAAACTTCAAAATAAATGCTATTTGAATTTGCCTGCAAGCAATAGAGAAAGAAATTCGATGGATACAATTTTAGGATTATTTCTTATATTTTTTTTAGCCTCGAGCTAAAACTAAATCACTGCTCCTAAATTTTCAATTATATTCGAAAGACTAAAAAAAACTTCATAAGAGTTCAATTTTGATATGAATAGATTAATTATTCGTACTTTAAAGATAATATTTAGTTAAAATTAATTAATTCTAATTTAATTAATAATAAACAAAATTTATTATTAATAAATTAATTATTATATTTATTAAAATATAAAATTTTAAATAATTAACGAACAGTTTTAACTCTCAAATGGCTAATTTTTTAAATTTCATTTTTATTTATTAATCATCGCTTGATAATCTTTTGCGGAAAACGTTAACAAAAACATGGATTTAAACAATATTTGAAGTTTTTATTGCTTTACCTATTATTTTGATCTTGCTGCCACCTATCGTAATGATGATAAGATCCATTAATCAAATAACTTAAATTATTTAATAGCTAAATGATTCATTATGAAAGTCGAAAATTTCGAGATGAATAATTGAAATAATTTTTCAAAATCAAAATGATAGTTGTCATGTGAAGCCTAAGAAGCATTCTATATTAAATTTTCCATTGATGTTGCAAATGCACTTTACAATTTCAAAGTGTAAATATCATCAAATATAATGTGTGTATTTGAATTAAGCAAATTTTTCATTGGATATTCAATAATTTTATGCATAATGATATTTCGTATCGGAAAAAATGATTAGTGAAAAATTTTTTTAATAAAATGAAATTTAAAATTTTGAATTTTAAAAAGTAAGAAAAAAATTATTTCTTCACTTATATAAATTTTTTTTATAAATATTTTTAACCAAAATAAAATATCGAAGGAAAAGTTTTTGATTTTATTAGGAAAAAAGTATTAGCGAAAATTGTACTGAAATTAAAGAACGTTTAAAATAGAATGTATTTGTGTTTTCATTCATTTATTTAAAGTATTTTATATTTTGTTTGGATTAGCGAAATTAAATGGGAAAAGTAGCTGTGTTGTTTTCATCCATCTCAATTTGATCCATTCCCAATTTGATCCATTCCCAATTTTAAATCCATTTCCAAAAATTCATCAATTTATTCGATTCGAAATAACAAAACAATGTCAACAACATCATCATTATTTTTATAGCTAACAAAATCTATTTAGAAATTTTGAAAGAAAAAAGATTACATTAAAGTATTTATAGTATATACAATTTATTTCTTCTAAATATCATATAGATTATCTAAATTAATTTCTACACTGTTTTATAAAAATTTCAAAAATAAAAACAAAAACAAGATGAAATTTCGCCAAAGTTAATTTATCATCATTGTCGGAAATTTTCCCGATACTCATGGATAATTTCTCAATATACATCTTCATCATATTATCATTCAAATTTACACATATCTCAACAAAATTATTATCTTATCAAAACCGATAAATTATTTATACTATTAATATTGCTTCGCAATTAATGTTTTACTACAAAGTTGTACTCTTATTTGTTTATTATCTTATCAAAACCGATAAATTATTCACAATTCTATTAATTAACCTATTATTCTATTATTCTTTTAATTTTGCTTAGCAATTAACATTTTACTACAAAGTTGTACTTCTTCTTTTCCATTCATTTTTCTTCGTCAAATTCTTTTCTACTTTTTTTTTGATAAATTTTCAAATTTTTATAAAATTTTTTTTAGCTTAAAAATAAGGAAGAAAATTGAAAAAATTATTTGTCTAAAATAAAATATGAAATTTCGAGCTAACGGCTTAAATTTCATGCCAAATATGATTATTCCCAGAAATAAGCATAAAAATATAATGAAGGAATAATTTATGAAATGTTCGCAGTGATAAATTCTATGGAGGAAATGGATTTTTAGCCGATATTTTAACAAATAATCGTTTTGGATAGAATGTATAATAAATTTCAAATATTTATCAAAGAATTGAAATCTTTTGTTTTTCTCTCTTTATTATGTGAAATTTTAATTTTTAATTTTCAAGCACTAATGAAATGAATCTTACAACATGTGCAATCTTTTGAAAAGCATTTATATATGTGGAAGTGAAATGTTTTGACTGATTAGATAGATGTACAGAGGGAATATAAACTAATCCCACCAGTAATATTTCGGAAATTTCATAAAGTGATCAATATTTTGAACTAGCTTTTTCGATGATAATTGTAAAATGATAATTTGTAATGCTAATATTCAGAGAATAGTAAATAGTGATAAGCATCATCTGATTGCATCATATGAAAGTAGCCTTGATATTCTCCAAATATTATCAATTTAACCATTATAATATCAGTGATCATTGTTGCTAAAAATAATATTGGTACTTTCAAATAATCTCAATATTACTGTTTACCACATATATTATTTATTGCCAACTTGTTGAATTCCAAAATTTGAGTGGCACGAAAAAATGTTTATTGATGAATTTGAAACCTTAAAATGATATAAAATAAAAGATGAAAATATTTGCATAAGAAAAGAAACACAAACATAAACACACACACACACACACACATACATGACAATTTCGATAAGCAATTAAAATATTATATGTAAAAAATATGAAATTAAAAAGGTAAAAAAATATGTGCAAATGAAAAAATTGACAATTCTTTAATGATAAAATTGATAAGATTTATAGTTTAGGAAATGATAAAAATCATTTAATCAATAATGTAATTCAATGATTATCATATTACTATCACATATTATATAATACAGTATATTCTCTAAGCTTACAGGTATAAAGTTAAATGAAATGTTTATTCGATTTAACTTGCCTGATATATTAGTCTATCATATCATATCATGCCATATTTGTAATGTTCAAATGTTTATTCGATTTAACTTGCCTAATATATTAGTCTATCATATCATATCATATCATATTTGTAATGTTTTAAAATTGAAGAAATTTTCGTAAGATATAAAAATGATAAAAATTTCGATATTATAATTGAAATGAATAAATGATGATAAAATAGATTTCATTTATTAAAATATATTTGTTCCATTTTCTATTCTTTTTCTATTCTGTTAAATTTGAAAATAATTTTCTATTCTTTTTCTATTTTCTATTCCTTCCCTATTCTGTTAAGTTTGAAAATAATTTTCTATTCTTTCTCTATTCTTTTTCTATTTTGTTGAATTTGAAAAAAGTGAATTGAATCAAAAATTATTTCAATAGATTTTTCTAAGTCTTCTAATTCTGCAAAATAATTTCAGAATTCTAATTGCATTTAATTATTGAAGAGAAATACACAAACAAATAAACAAAAAAGGCACATATCGTAGAACTGAGAAAATTGGAGAACATCGAAGTAAATACAAAGTTTAAGGCAATCTAATTCGTAAGGCAAATAAATAATAGATAAATTAATAGCATAGGTATGGAAGAGAGAGAGGGAAGGAGGAGAGAGGGTGATATTTCAAGTTATGATAAAATTATAGTGAATCTTTTTATGAAAGATATTGAAGAAGAAAAAGGATGAAGATATTTAAAATATAGACAGTAATTTTCAGAAATTTAAAAAATTTCTAAAAAATTGAAAATCTAAAAGCTGTAATTTCATAGATGTCACATTTTGTTAATGATGAATGATAATTTACTCTTATGGGTGTCACATTTTGTTAATGAATGATAATTGATGAATGATAATTTACTCTTATCGATAAGTAAATCGAACACATACCTCTCACTAATATTATAAGTGATAAACACTAATCTCTCATTCATATTTAATCGTTAGATTCTATTTATGAAATGACAAAAAAATATGTAAATTATATGAAAATTCAATTATCTCAGTCCTACGAGAAATTTCAGAAGGAAATTTGAAAAAGAAGAAATTTATTTCATCCATTTCAATTCATTCCAATTTTTCATTTTAATTTTTTTGATGTAAAAGAACATCAAAAATTATCAATTCATTTATTCCGTTTTTTTGTTTGAAAATTAAAATTTTAAAGTGAAAAAAAATAAGACAAGTATAAATAAACACTAGCTTAGCCTGGCTTGGCCTGGCCTAGATCCTATAAACGGACAATAGACAAATGTTTTAGCCCTTTTCCATCACAAAAACAAACAAATCTTTATCATATTGATTTTTCTAATAATTTGCATTAAAAGAGTGAAGTACAAATAATAGTATAAGAGATGTGTTTATAGTAGAAGTAAGGAAGACAAAAAATTAAAATTAAGTTTGTAGACAAAGTAAAAGATAAACCCGAATCGTGAACAAGCAACATTGTGGAAAGGGGAACGGAAAAATACAATGTTAAGATTTGAGAATCAGAAATACATGTCGGGAAAATATTTTTCAGCTACAAAATATTTTCTTTCTCATCATCTTCGATAGATAACCGGTTAAAAAAAACTATACATTATAGTAAGCAGTAGGTGGTTGCTGTACATGAGGCATATGTGATTGAGAATATGAAGGCCTTAATGTCCTTTGATCATATGGAAAGGATAACACTCCTGTACCATAAAATAATCCTTCCTCATATTGTTGACAGGATGATTGATTAGTTGAAAATTTCGACGGTAACCAACCAGCTTGCATTGCTGCCACCTGAAAGGGTGATGTCTCGATGATATAGATATCCAACAATATTGGAGAATATCAAAGTTAAATGTTAACTATTAATTTATACTATAAGGTAATGTCATTTTAGTATATTTTTTCGTACACTAAACGATATCGGATTACGTTGTGTACTGTACTATTACTAAACAGCTAAATTGAGTATATGTTCTGAAGTAAAAAATTGTAAAGATATATTATGGTGTATTTTTTCTACTAAAAAACGAAATTTAAAAATTAATAAAAAAATACTTAAAAATGAACCATTTGCGGTGGACTACATCCAATACCATTATGATGATCGGAGTAAGGTGACAGCATAACAGATGATGATTGAAGTACTGTATTTTCCGAATGTCCAGCAGTAGCCTGGGTTACCGTAATTCCACGTATTGCTGTTGTTCCAACGTGAACCGCAGCTGTCGTATCATGAGGTGATGGTGTAGTGGAGTAGTTTGAACCATCAGAATTTGGTGGAGTAAGTGGATTTGGTGCAGTTGATGATTGTGTTGTTACTGCTGCTACTGCTGATGGATAAGCTGGTGATGAATTCTTTTTGATTGTTGGCCTCTGTAACATTTATTTACAAATTTTAAAGTTATCATTTTCAACTTTTAATTTAATAATGCAAAATTTAAATTGTATTGAGCATTTGAATTAATAATAAGAGAAATTAAAATACATAAAAAAATTTACCGTTGTTTTCTTGAATGATTTCTTAAAACGTTGATGTGCTGAAAGTGCTAAATTTGCAGTCATATTTGATGGTAAAATTCTTGGAGTAGGTATTGTATCGAGATAATGAACAATATCACGAAATTCCTTCTCTGCAGCAACATCACGTGGTGATCGCTCCTTTTGATCCGTGATTTCTTTGCTAGCACCAAGATTGATAAGACATTCTACAGCATCAAGATGTCCTTCTGATGCTGCCAAAAATAAGGGTGTTTGATCCTAAATTATTATATATTTCATTATTTTATATTTATAAATTTAAATAAATTTTACAGTTACTTTAATTTAACAGTAAATCTTTTAATTCATGAATAGTTTAAAATTTTTGAAAATTAGAAATAGTGAAAAATAGAACTGAAAAAATTCCTAGAAATATTAGTAATTCAACTTCATAACTTACCAATGAATCTTGTGCATCTTTATTAGCACCATTATGAATTAGAAGACGAATTATATCTAAATTAGCATGTTGTGAAGCAAAATGTAATGCTGTTCTTCCGTCATATTTTGTTAAACTTTTATCACCAGCACATGCTACATCAGCTTTTGCTTTCAGAAGCATTTCAGCTATTTCCGTACCCATACGTATATCAAATTTGGAGCAAATGATTAGCGGTGTTCGATTATCTTCATCTAATGCATCCACCTTAAAATATTCATTTATAGAAAAAGAAAGAAGTGAATGATTTTGATAAAAATTTTTGCAAGATTTTAATTAGTATGATAATATGAAAAATCAATAAATGATTGTTTATTCTGCAACAAATATCATCAATGATAAGATTACTCATGATCATCAATGATAAGATTACTTTACATTTAAATACAGAATATAAAATTTACAATTTTAAAATATTTCCATGAATAGAAAATTTTTTGATAAAATATTCAGATTATCGGTAAGATTTATTTAAATTGTCTATTCATTCAAAATTCTTTATAAATGAAAGTTCGAAAACCAAATTTACAAACATTATCATTCGAATTAATCTGATTAATCTATCTATCGCATTATTTCAATTACTACCTGATTATGATTATGATTATGATTTTTCTTAACTTATCAGATATATCTGTCTTGAAATGCTATCATAAAACTATTTTAAATTAAATTAACTTACATTAACTTGTCGTGTATCGAGCAATAGCTGTACAATATTTGGTATATTCACAGCAACAGCATGATGCAACGGTGTACGATCCTTTTCATCAACTAATGTTGGATCAGCTCCATTTTTTAACAAACAATCTACGACCGTTGTTCGACCGCTTTTCACCGCAAGCATCAAAGCGGTATCTTCGCTATCATCTTGTGCATCAATTTCCGCTCCAGCTTCTAATAAATTACGAATATCCTCACAAGATGCTTCTTCATTTTTTGCTTGATTAGATGCTGTTTGCATCATAGCCGTACGTCCATGTTTTCCACGTACGTTAACCAATAAAGGTTCTATCTGAAAAATATTTTATGATCAGCAAAATGACGTGATTACACATGCTTCTTAACTTTTCTATGTTCAGCACGCAGATAATTTTGATTGCTAAAATATGGTTGATTAGAAGTGAAAAATAAGACTGAACTGCCATTTTCTATAATACATCTCTTTCCGTGATACATGATAATCTTGATATAATTAAAATTTCTTAAGACTACTAAGCCCCTTACATCACTCTCATCATTTTTCAATTCTCTTTAAAAAGATAACAAACCGGTAAAGATATGGGTGATGTAGAATCAGCAGCTTCATGTAAATGTGTCCATTGCCGTTCATCGGCACCTACAGTTTTCGGTTTCAGGAATGATTGTGTATCTTCGCCAATGTATAAATTCGGATGAGCAATACCAACAGGAATATTATCAGAACGAGAGCGTTTTGCTGAACCATAATTACTAAACAAATATCCGCTATGGATGCTATATGTGTCCAGATTGCCAGTCGATGATTTACCTATAAAAATTTTATAATGCAAAAAATGAGCATATATATATCGTGAAGTATCAACAAATGATATATCAACCGGAGACCAACTAAACTTGAAAACACTTTTATCGGATGATTAAGAAGTAAACAAAATGTAATCATAAATGATAAACGAAGATAAAGATTTATCATTTAGTTAATCTTTTAATATTTTAAAATCGAATTTGAAACAAAAAAGAATATTGATAGGAGAAAATGTAAATCGTACAACTTTCGGATGCTGGTGGATGCCAAATACGAGCATGAAGAGTTTTCCGTTTTCTTCCTTGCTGAACCATCGAGTAAGCAATTAGTATTGTTGTGAAAAAAACTGATAAACAAATAAGTAAGGTTTGTAAAGAGATTCCTTTTGATTGCATGCTATTATCTAATTCAACTCGTGCTGAATGCATTGGCATACCAAGTTCCTGCAATTCCTGCAAAATTGTCGTCCGTAACGGATTATTTAATTCATGAGAAACATAAGATATATAAATTAGTCAAGAGATTTCTTTAGCCTATCTAGGCATTAGATACGCAAAAACGAAAATTCAGATTCATTAGAAATATCCGTTTCGATTATAAACTACTGGTAGTAATGACATAATATTAACAAAATATTGCACCCTTATTTTTATTGGATAAGGATGTGATACCAAATAATAGAATAAAAATTTTAATTTCATTTCATTCATAAATGAATCGTTGTAAAACAATAGAAAAGAAAATTTAATTGCTTTTTTGTTCCTAGTTAAAATTAATCAATTATGAAAAATTAATTTAAAATCAAACAACAATAAGAAATAAGAAATTAAAATAAAATTAATCATAATTAAATTCAATAATTTGATAAATCTTCTAACAAAAAAATTTAACGTCTTCTTACCTGTTTGGCGTTAGCTGCACCTAAATAATCTACAACACTAAATAGATTCGAAAAGCATTCTTCACGATCAATTTTACGACAATGTGATACATCAACCGTAAGCATTACCATTGTACCTCGTAATTGACCTATAAAAACAAAAAAAAAATGTTTGTAATTAATCGGAAAATTGAGAAAATTTAATATTTTATTTTTGAAAATAAAATTTAATTTTTGTTCAAAGAAAAATTAGATTTATTAGGACTTATTTTTTGAATATATATATATATATGTGAGAAAAACTATCATATCAATATTTACAATTCCGTCGTATCGTATGTTGCAATGGATGTAGTTAACCTGCATCCATATGCATGACAATTTTATTTTTAGGTTAGAGGTCAGTCATATTATTTATTGCATGTTAACAAAAAATCATGCAAGGATTATTTTCGATGAAATACTTTGTTTGATTATTAGCATTTCGTAAAAATTTTAACCTTCATATTTCTAGGTGATATCTTATTTTCATTTTGTTAGGTTTACAAAACTTATTACTGTTATAATGAAAGCTAATTGGTAATTGATTACTGCTAATCGATTAATTAAAATCCTTATTCTTTTTAGAAGATTCTTTTTTTAGAAAATGGATTCTTTTATCTAAAAATTTTCTTGCATAATATTTAGACTAATTGTATTTAGGAATCTTTTTTTAATTTAAAATTTGAAAGATATCTTTGCTTTCATATTTTAAACATACTTAACTATTCTAACTGAAAATGAAACATAAATTATAAATCAGTAGGATAAATTATACTAGAATTTACTTTGTCTTTTATTTCGTTGAAAATTTGAAATGAGTAAATGATGCTTTTCTTGTGGTACATCATATAGTGGTCCAATACCATCTTCTGAACTCCATGAATAGATCATTGGTTTATCATTTATCATTCGAATATGTATTGCACTACGTAACTTTTGACTTAATGTAAAAAGGAATACTTGCGCATTACGTAAAAATTCTTCTGGACTAATCAAAAGTATTACTATGATATTTCCAGCCAGCTGAAAAGAAAAATCATTTATTATAAAATTAATCCATTTTTATTGTTAAAATATGATTAAAATATTGATTAATTATTGAAATTATTTAATTATGCTAATGGAAAATTTAATTAATTAATAAGAAAGCTAATTCTTAATGATAATATTTAACAACAAACCCGTGTTTCAACATCAAAAGAATCACAATCACCACCATCCCATCCACAACCGATAACATTGCATTCTCGATCACATTGTCCATCAGCGTAGTGTGTCGTACAGTAATCATTTTTGGGACATTGTTCCGGAATACTATCACAATCAAATCCATCAAATAGACATTCCTGATTGTTACATACCTATAAAATAATTTAATACGAGCAGTGATAGATAAATATCTATGTATTGATAATAATATTTGAAAGAAGAATAAATGAAAGAATGAAAGATCGTTGAAACAAATTATCGAAAATTATAAAATGATTTGAATATATTAAAAAATTGAAATTAATTCAAAATTAAGCTTAAATTTTAATTAGATTCACCATATGACAATTTACGATAGCTTACCGGATCACATTTTCCATCTCTAAAAACATGAGCGCAATAACTTGATGATTCGCATTTTTCAAACGGTTTTGTACCAGCACTACAATCTCCACTATCATAATTACATGCATAATAATTGCAAACTTGATCACATACTTTATTATCTGCCTGAAATTAATTGATTCAATTATTTGCCAAAGAAGAAAAAGATTGATAATATCATCATTATGAATTCATTAATTGGGATCAAATTACAGTTTGATACCTTTGCTGCACAATCATGCTTAGTGCATAGTTCATGCTCCAACAAATCGGTTACATTGAATTGTTCTAAATCAATTTGACGTTGGCAATTTTTCCCGGTAAATCCACGCTTACATCGACAACGATACGAGTTAACACCATCAATGCAAGTTCCACCATTCAAACATAATCTATAATGGGTGAAACTTTAATTAATTAGCAATCAAATTAAAATTAGTCTAATATTTTGTTAAATTTCTAATTTCATTTTTAATACCTTTATTAGAAAATGCTAAAACTAATCGATATTGATATTGATCTTTAATAATTTATTCGTAATATTCATATATGTATGTAAAACATAGACAAAATTTTCTATCAAAATTTTACAAAAAATATTTTAGTTAAAAAAGTTTCATTCTCGAAATAATTTCATATTTTGATGAAGAAATAATAGTGATACATTATTTCAGTAAATCTCGGGAAGAGCAATGGTGTTTTTCTATTTCAGTAAATCTCGAGAAGAATGGTGGTGTTTTTTATTTCGGTAAATCTCGGGAAGAATGATGATGCTTTGTCTTAGCAAATCTCTATAAAATTAATTATTTTTCTTCACTTCCATTTCTTATTTCCTTAATTTACGTCAAACTAAAATATCTCTCGTTAAAAATGATAAAAGCATTTCTTCTTTCACTTCCCTTTATTAGCCTTCTGTAACAAATTTAAATTTTCATTCAATCTTAATTTCAAGGTTTAAAATTATAATCGAAATTAAATTCCAACATTGTAAAACAAATGTTCGTTATAATTTTTAAATTTAAATTTCAAACTATTTTGAATGTTTCCTTTCGCACTAAAATTTAAATTTCACAATTAAAAGAATAATTAAAAAAATTGTTTTCTTCTTTCTAAGCAATATGTCATCACCAAATAATGTGGTAATTAAGAGCTTCAACATCTCAAAAAAAAAAAAGACAGATAATAAATAAGTTAATCCTTCCCTTGGGATCTTTTCCGATAATTAGATGGGTAAATATGTGCTTAATCTCAAGCATGAATAAAATCTTTCACAAATAAAATGATTTGTCTTGGTATTGTTAGTTGATTAAATGATCGGTGGATGGATTGTTGAAGGATGGAATTGGTACAATGTAAGGTCAGTGATTTTCTCAACATAATACTTGAAAATAATTCGTTGAATAAACAATGAAGTTTAGGGTGTTGTAATGTCCACAAATTGAACCTATGATTTGTGTATGAAAGTGAGTGTGTATTGGCTATCATTATTCATCAACCAATTGGTCACAATATCTTGATGATATGGTCGAAAATGTCCTTCTTTCCTTTCTCACATCACTTTCTATTTTTAACAGAAGATTAAATTTAACTTCACAAAATACATTTGTTTACTTACTTCTGTTCAATTAGATCAAGTATATATCACTTCCAGTTGTGAAGTGTGTGAAGATATTTTTCATTCCCATTATTATGCAATTATCAACAGGTATGTAAATACACATACACACATACACACACATACATATGATACTATGGTAACCTAGTTAGTAAGGCTTTACTTTTAAACATTTATTTAAATAAAAACCACTTCCTAATCCTGTTCAGGTAAAGGTAAACCGAAAATAGTAAAAAATGGCGTCGGTTATTATTATACCGAATTCGTATGCCATAAAATTAGCATTCTGAAGTGTTGTAAAAGTAAGATGTGATTTGCCATCTTACTTTTCATTTGTTTGATCCGGCTATTTACGATCTTGTCCGATTCTGGAGAATTTGAGATCTATTTATCATGAATGAAATTAAATAGGTTTACCTTAATAAATAAAAAATTTCATACTGATCGAAAGAAGAATAATGGACAATGGTCATTCAGCATTAAATATCATCTACTACTACATTTCCTTTCCGAGAAATTTATTCATCACTGTTAAATGTCTTCATTCTTTCTCTCATTCATTCATTCGATTCTTCTATTTTCACTCTTACTATTGAAGAGGATGAAATGATGAAAAATGATGATCGTAAAAGCAGCATTTCGAATCTGAATTATAGCTACAAAGCTATCAGGGCTATTACCGAATCCCTGAAACCGGACAAAGGAACAATGTGTTAGCTAAGAACGATGTAACTATCATAAAGCAAGAGAGGAAAGGAAAGACGTTTGATAGTTAAAACTACATATTGTGTTGTTCTTTACAATATGATAAACAAAAGATACGTATCAGATGGGACGGTCAAACAGATCGCCATCCTGCTTTGGGTCATCAAGAACGGACAATCGTGGGAAAGCAGCTTGCATTTTAAGATGTCAAAAGTATTCTTAATTCCCTCTTTCACACTCTCTTCAACATTCATTACCTTCTTGCACAAATATGAAATTAATTACCTGAAATTTGAGTACCACGAAAAACTGCTAGTTAATGCTTGTCATTCTTTTACTTACCTTCCCATTAATTACTCATTTTTTTATTAGCTACCGCAACAAAAATTCCCTTCATCAATGTGTAATAAATTATGCAACAAACTTTAGATTTCCTACAAATTAGCAATAGCTTAATGATGGGAAAAATAGCTTTGTTGTTATTAGCAACAATAATACTGGCAAAAATGCAAACGAATCATTTATAGCTAATATCAAATTAACAAGTGAAATTCGTTGTTTTCCGGAATAAAAAAAATGTATACTGTTATCGCTTATTGAGAATTTCCGGAAAATAAATTATAAATTCAGTATATTTATTTCATTATAGTATAAGCTTCAAATCTCAATATTTGATCTCATTTATTCTTTTGTTTTCCTTAATAAAAGATTCAGAAATAATTGGAAAGGTTACAAAAGGTATAAAATTTAAAAACTAATAACTTATGTGGATTCGAATTTTTTGAAATTCCTAAATGCTATAATTTTCAATTCGTTTTTTTCTAAAAATTAATTTTTACCATACCCTGATTGACAGTCATCATCGTTGGTTTGACAGAAAGTACCACTGAAACCTCGGCGACATACGCATTCGAAACCGTTTACATGATCGATACATGATGCGCCATTTTCGCATGGTGACGATTCACATTCATCGATATTTGTTGCACATTGACGACCCGTAAAACCAGCCAAACATTCGCAATGATAGCCGTTCAGTTCATCCACGCAATGGCCACCATTTAAACATGGATCTGAAGATTTCCCAGAAATAGCAAAACAAGTATGATGCAATCCGAATCGGCGGTTTTTATCATCTATCATTCTGAGATCTCCCAATAAATAACTTGTTTTATCATTCGATCTGTTTGTTACAGGAAGGGAATAAATGCTTTCATTATAAATAGAATATTCAGTAATTTCAATGAAGAAAGTAGCAATGGCAGAAGTATGCCAAAAACCAATATGCTGGCTTTTTGCAACCGCCAACCTATTTTATTGATTTCCGTTATCCTTCGTTTTTCTTCCATTTTTGTTTTTGGTATGAAACTGATTTAAAAACAGATTTCAAAGATGATCTTTTCATCATTAAATTTTATAAATCAAAATAGCAACACCATTAAGTAAGGGAACAAAATGAGAACTAAAATATGAAATTAGAAAATATTAAAAACAATTAGCAAACAAACTTGGTAAGCAATCATCTCGATCATCTTCGCAATTCCTACCGGTATATCCATCCGCGCAATGACATTGATATGAGCCAAATGTATTTGTACAAGTACCACCATTAAAACATGGATTATTTGTTGCGCAATCATCAATATCCTGGAAATTTCACAAATACTAGGCAGCTATGATTGTTTGATGAACAGATAAGAATACGATTTAGTGATACAATAAGTGATAATGATATCACTACTGCTGCAACCCAAATTGATCAATTTCTAAAATATTGTTAAACAAAATAAAACTTACAATTTCGCAATAAGATCCATGAAAACCGTTACTGCAACTACATGTGTAATTCCGATAAGTTGGTGTAGGCTTACAAATTGCACCATTTTCACAGCGATTTGTTCGACATGGATCTAATCTGAAATATGAGCATTTTAGTATTGTGAATTCAAAAAGAATTTGAAATATTTATTCATTCCCTAAAAAGGGAAAAGCAGTAATATTTTATCAAGCAAATGAGAAATGCAATTGAATGGAAAGTAAATAAGGTCTGAAATTGTACAACAATCTTATTTGCTAAGTAAAAACTTTGGTAGAGAAAAAATATATATTTATATCATAATTGATTTATGACTAACTCATATTGGCATCGATCGCCATCATATGGTAGAGCACAATGACATAAATAAGAATTGATGCCATCAATACAAGTACCACCGTGTAAACATGGATGATGTATACAATCATCGATATTCGTTTGGCATTGTTCACCGGTATAACCTGTACTGCATGAACATACGTATCCATTCAAATGATCCGTACAAATGCCACCATGTTGACATGGATTTGATGCGCATTCATTCATCTAAAATAATTTATATATTTTGCATTGACACTGTAACCGATATTGCTAATAAACATAGCTTGAACTTCTGATTCTGGATGTATCCTTTGCTAATTTCATACTTTTAACACTGAAATACTGTAATATTCTCGGATAGAATAAGAAACTAAATGCTTACTTCCAGTTTGCAATCATGTCCATAGAAACCTAATTTACATTCGCATTTATAAGTAGCACCATTATTGGTTGGAATACAAATGGCATTCTGTGGGCAATTATGATATTTGCATGGATCCGATTTTTTCTCACAACGATCACCAATAAATCCCGGTGGACAACGACATGAACCTTTCGAACAAACACCACCATTTAGACAATCGGTCATGCTACATTCAACAATCTGTCGTCGTTCACAATTTTCACCTTCATAACCAGATGGACAATTAAGCTCACATCGTTCTCCATGAAAACCTAAAATACATTTTACTTCACTTCTCTTCTTTTGAAAGTTGTATTTTCCTCTATAAATTATGTTTAATTGATTGGTATACTAACCTGACATACAAACGCATTTGAAACGTGTGCCATAATCCAAACATGTGCCAGAATTAAGGCATGGATTAGTGGAACATTGATTTACATGAGTTTGACAATGCCAATCGGTATATCCTGGTGGACATTCACAGTAAAATGATCCCGGTATATTTACACAAGTACCACCGTTATAACAAACAGCATGACCCTAAATAAATTTATAGAAATCAACTACATTCGTTCATTCATAGTACTACTATCTTCACAAAACCATCAGTTCAAAAATAATTTCGGAATTATGAGCATTGAATGAATGTTACCTGATTACATTCGTTGATATCATTGGAACAGTCATCTCCAGTGTATCCTTTTGGGCATTCACATGTATACTTCCCGCTTGATGTATCCGGTTCACAAACTGATCCAACTCGACATGGATTTAATAGACATGGATCTTCCATATGACAAAATAAACCTGTAAGAAATATAAATCGAGAAGTTAAGTAATAATACATATTAAGTAATTCAACCATATCATCTAAATAGCACTTTTCTTCCATTTTCTAACATTTCTATACCATTGAAAAAAGAAATGAAATCGAAGAAAAATTAATATCCAATAACTCACCGATACGACCAGTTGGACATTCACAAGTATACTTAGCGAGATGATCCACGCACGTGCTACCAGCTTCACAAAGCGCATCCACGCAATCATCTTTGTTTATCTCACAATGAACACCTTCCCAACCATTTACACAAACACAATGATAACCTTCTTTTTTGTTGAAACACGTTGCGCCATTTTTGCATTCATGTAAACCTAATTCACATTCATCGATATCTTCCTCACAGAAACGACCTGAAATTATTTTATATGTAATCTTACTTACTTTATTGATTCTATTACATGCATACCTTTTTTTAAGATTTATTATTGAATATATGATTTTGAATCTTAACACAAAATTGTTATGAATGAATAATATTCATTTAATAATATACTTTCTATGTTAGCTTATATCATTTTCTTTAATATCTAATTAATATCTAATTAATCACTTGATTAAATTCCAATTAATCGCTTAATTAAATTCAAATTTTTCTCACTCTCTTCCTAATATTTTTAACTTTTTATCTTTTCTTTCATATGAAATAATTTTTTATATAATATTAATATAATTATTAAATTGTTTGATATATTTACAATTGTTAAATTATCTTTCATTCTTTTCACAATTCATCTTTTCCTCTCTTCCATTAGCATATTATTTTGTCATTTTAAATATAATTGAAATTTTACATTGAAAGTTTGATATGAGTGAAATTGTGTGTGTAAGCATTTTTCGAATTATAAATAAGATGATGATGAAGAATTGATTTCCTTAATGTTGACATGTGTAGCGAAGTATCTTCCTTAAAGAAAGAAGACGCGATCGGAAGAAGGCGGAGAGGAAAAAGAATGTGAATGAATGATATCAGAGATCATGCTGATACAATACCATTGGAGATAACATTTTGATTGATGTTAAGCGCCGATTTATTAGGAACAAAAGTGGAAGGAGAAGAAAATGGATACATAGCTGTCATCCGTTATTGCAATAAATGGCAGATGTTCAGGGTATAGTGTGAGAAATTTCTTATTACTACTACTACTACCGCTACTACTGGTACTACTATCACTGTCATTAAAATTTACCTCTATTTTTCCCTCTTCTCTCTCTCTCGTACTTCTTTATCATAATTCTAATTTTGATTCTGTATATAATGCCTCTCTCATTCTTCATAAATCATTATCATATCATAAAACAGATATCAAATATTTGGAAAAGATTCCAATTTTGATTCTGATTCTGTTTCTTATTCAAAAATATCCTCCACTCATTTCACATCTTTCTTCCGTTTTCTTTAAATCATTATCTTGAATCATTATTATCATATCATAATAAATATTATCTTGAATCATTATCTTGAATCATTATTATCATATCATAATAAATATTATTTCTTCCTAAATCAAGCAATTAAAATGAATATGGATTTTACGGTTGCATTTGATTATATCAGAAATAAAACATCTCTTTTTAACTAACATAAATTTAACTAATTTACATTTATTACTCTTTGCTAAATTATAAAATATAAATAATTCAATGAATATGATACTCCAGTTCTTCATTGTTATTATTGCAAATAGATAAATGATAATGAATGATAATAATGATTTCTATACCGTATAATAAATGTTATAATGTATATTATAAAGAAATTTTTAAAGATTAAATTTTTGACAAAAAAAAGCAGGAAATTTGCCCGTCAAAATTCTATTTCAATGATATATAATTTATAGTGAAATTCTATTACAACAAACTCTTTCAAGAAAAATATATTTCGAATTTAAATAACTCTTCAAGTTTAGTTTAAAGATCTCTGAACTATTAATATATATATTGTCATAATATATATAAATAACTTTGTTAAAGTAATCATACATATTTTATGATACTATAAATATCATTATTTATGATAACATTTGATCACTGTGATAATATATCACGAAATGACAAACCTGTATAAAATGGTGGACATTTGCACTCATAACCTTGTTCACGATCTATGCAACTACCACCATTCATGCAAGCATTTTCCGAACAATCATCTATATTCACTTCACAATGTCGTCCAGTAAAACCTGAAATATTTTTTCCTTAATAATAAATGTATGATTGTAAGATTAATTAATTTTCAATAAATGTTTTTTAAATAAACTTTGATAGAATAATGGAAAAGGTTGAAGTGAAATATCTCAATGAAAGATTCGAAAGTGATCGTAACAATTAAATGAAAATTTTAATTAAAATTAACAATTTCATTTTTAAAATTTTAAAAGCAAATCTTTGCATTCAACAAATCTTTTAATCAGAAATTTTTCCTCAATAATCACCACTTTATTATCCTAAAATATTTCTAAAAAATGTTATCCCAAAAAATTTTGGTATAATAAAAATTATCCCAAAATATTTTTTTGTTAAATAATTAATAAATATTCTTTATTTGGTAAATTTTAAATTAATTAAATTTCATTTTTTTTTTTTGGCCTAAAATTTTCATCCATTTCCTCTTCTCCAATCATTTCTTCATTTTCAAAAAAAAATGAAAATGCGCAAATTGTAAATTATTTTGTCTGAAATAATTTGGTAAGCTTTTAGGAACAAGAAAAAAAGAACGATAAAACTATTTTCTCTAAAAATTCATTTCACAAATATATTAATTAAAAGAAAAATGTTAGAATCATTCAAATATCGGATGAAAAAAAATGAAGAAAAAGAGATAAAAAATATGATTGTAATTTATCGTTGCAATTAAGACAAAGTATCGATTCATTTGAAATGATTCAAAAGAATCATTCTTCTCTTTACTGAAATTAATTAATTTCACTTTTTAAATAGTTAATTTTTCATTTTGAAAAAAATGCAAAAATTATGTTTCCTACAATGATCACATTGTTTTTCTTTCTTCGATCATAATTTAAATTTAAAATTTATCAAAAGAGAAAAAATCCTAAAATAATAGAGGAAAAAAAAAAAGGTGAAAATTAATGATATCAATAATAAGAATTAATGATATCATTGATGATATTATTATCACTTATCAATAGTAATAACACATACCAGGACGGCATTCACAAGAATAATACTTATTATCATGATACGTATAGCATTTGGCATTATTGTGACACGGTGATGTGGAACATGGATCACGATTAAATGAGAATGTTTCACAATTACGACCAGTAAAATCATTTGGACATTCGCATCGATATGAACCAAACTATAATTAAATAATAATTCAATTAATATTTTAATTTCTTAATTTTCAAAAATTAATAAATAATAGAATTTTTCTTGAAATATTTCATACAAAATTCAAATATTTTTTTTTAAGTAATTTGAAATTTAAAAGAAAAATAATAAACGAAAAATTCTTTTTTTGAATATTTTACTTAAAATTGGAATACTTTTACATATTTTAAATAATTTTTTACCATAATTGGAAATTAAGAATCGAAAATGAATTCATTTTATATTATGCAATTTTCGAAAATTTCTGCATTTTTTTTTGCAATTCAAAATAATGAATTATGGACTTAAAGAAGAATTAAGTGGAAATATACTAAATTACTTAATATTTGAATTACATTAGGATGAATGCTTATCCTAATGATATGCATTATTTTATGTTGCTAAAATCTTCATTTACATATAGCAAACTTTACCTCATTAATGCATTTACCGCGAAAACACGGATTCGAATGACATTCATTCACGTCCAATTCGCATTTGTTACCATGAAAACCTTCCGGACATTCGCAACGATAACCTCCGGTTGTTGATATACATGCAGCATTATTTTTGCATGGATTACCTTCACAATAATTTCGCTCATTACATCGTTCACCTGTAAAAAAGCAAAAAATAATGTAATCATCTTGTATCAAGATGTTTTGTTGATTTTCCTAATTTTCCGTTTTGTTTTTAAATCAGGAATTCGGGAAATTGAAATTTATATTTTGAATGGAAGAAAAAGATTAATGAAAAATTATTTTTGATTTATTTATTGATCAATATTGTTTAAATTTCTTATATTGGCATTTTTAATGTAATGACTGAACTGATAATCTTCTGATAAGGTTGTAAATTTTTTTGATATATTTTTGGTTTTTCTTTAGTGCTTTATTTTTCATCAAAATATTGCTATATTTAGGAAGATAATTGAAAAATGACAAAGAAATAAATATGAAATTATTTGAGCAATTTATTCTTTATAATCTCCGATACGATCCGATCCGAACCGATCCGATACGATACGATGAACGGGTAGCATTACAATTACTATATTGCTCTTTAGTGGATGATTGAAAGGATTTTGAATCTAATCTAATTCTGATTACACATATTTCTTACTGTAACATATCATCTAATACATTAATATTCTATCCTTTCTCTTTAGCTTTTCCTTTATGATATTGAATTCAAAAAAAAGCTAATTTCAAATGTAGCACTATATAAAACAAATGTTTTGCTTACTATTGGCTATCTGGCTATCTGGCTATTGGCTATTTGTTATTTAATCGATTAAAATGAATTACGACTATTATACTCTAACACTATCGAATTCAATGATATCTTAATCTATCCGATCTTCTTTGATTTCGTATTTGATAAATTTATTAAAGTGTAATATCAAATTAAATTATTCAATCTTATGCATTCATTCAGAACTTACATATCAGACTAATAATATTTATTTATAAATATATCTATTTTTAGTTGATAGAGGGAAAAGATGAAATGAAATTTCATAAAAATTAATAACTTAATTAAACTGTAATGTAATTAGAAATTAAATTATAGTTAAGGAGGAAATATAAAACAATTAGTTTTTCGAGTTCAAATCATATAATTCAATTGAAATTTTTATTTAATAATATTAATTTCTTTTTTCAAATGATTATTTTATACATTTGACTATTTTAACTGTTATTTAGCAATAGAAGAAAAAGGAAATATATTTTCCATTTCTTTTAAATACTTATATATGTATAGTCAAATCTTATATCATACAGTTATATAGTTCTTATATCATACAGTTATAGTTATAGTCATACAGTCAAATCTTATAGTCAAATCTGCGAGTCATAGTCATACAGTTCTTATAGCTATATAGTCAAATCTTAGAGTCATATAGTCAAGTCTTATAGTCATATAGTCATATAGCCAAATTTTATAATCAAGTTTCAAATACTTACAGTCATAGAAAAAGAAACCTAATATATTTTCTATTTCTTTCAAATACTTATATATAGTTATATATAGTCATATAGTCAAATCATACAATCATATAGTTATACAATTCTTATAGTCATATAGTCAAATTTTACAGTTAAGTCTTGTAGTCATATTGTCAATTGCTTATAGTCATATAGTCAAATACTTATACTTAAATACAACAATACGTTGAAATTTTAGACTAAAATAATAGATAGTATTAATTAGATTTTAAAATTTGATTGATTTAAATTTCATATATATTTCAAAATTGTGAGTAAATTCAGACTTGAAAACTCATCAGTAATGTATTACTTTTTTGGTCTTTCTCTTCTCAAAATTTATTTTTTAATTTTACGACAAGAAAAAAGAAACGAAAAATGTCATTGTAATTAATTTTCATTCTTAAATTTTAATTTTTTAATGAATGTTTTGTTTTTTTTAAATTATATTTTTTTAACAAACGAAAAATGTAAAATTGAATGAATGAATGAATGAATATTACACCAACTGATATTCATTAATATCAGTTGGTGTGATATTATTCATTATTCATTCCAAATAATCAAAATACACTTTTTTTACACCATCTCTAGAGAGAGAGAGAGAGAGAGAGAGAGAGAGACAAATATTCTCTCTCCCTCTCTCTCTCTCTCTCTCTCTCTCTCTCTCTCTCCTTTTTCATTCCCTATCATTTTTATATTTTATTTTTTTCCAACTTTTTTTTCTAACTGATACGATAATAGCGATGATTACAACATGCATTGCATGCAAAAGCATAGCTATCAGCAAAAGCGAAAGCATTACTTTCAACCCTTTCATTTGGAAAGCATTGCTTTGCCTCAAATCATTCATTTAATCAATCAATCAATCAATCATTCATTCATTCATTCGTTCATTCATTCGTTCATTCATTCATTCACTCATTCATTCATTCCATCATATATTCTATTATTACACAATCATTAATTCAAAAACTGATTTAACAACATAAGAATTTTATAATTATTGATATAAATATCATTGTTTTTCTTTCCTAACAAAATTTACGAAATTAATCAATTTAATTAATTATATACTTAATTACTTATATACTTATTTGTCAAATATAGGTAATAAGAATAATTTGAAGTAATGATTTCTTTGAAGATATCGCTTTTTTTGAGAAATGATATGATCATTTTCGTTAATTGATGATAATGAATTTTTAAATATTAGTGAAAATTTTAAATATCTGATAAAGCAACAAAGGAAAATTATCATTTTAAAATAAAACAAAAGAGTGGAATTAATTTGCATAACAGTATTTTTTTAAATCAAACAATTATTTGAATGATCGAATTTGCCGAAAGGATTCAAATATCATTTACATCCAGAGATTATTATTGCATAATTATCATCAACCGGTGAAGATATGTGATGACAAACGAAATGATAGGGATGTACAACAATTGTAATATGATAATCCAAAAATTCGGAATGACAAATAATTCAAGTTCGGAATGAAATTTGGAATGACAATTATTAATTCAAGAGAATTTGGAATAACAATTAGTACTGTCAAATAATTTTAATTACTTCAACTAATTTTTGCTATATTTATTTACGACGAATTAAAGAAAGATTTAACTTTGAAAAGTTTTGAATGAACGTGCAATTTTAAAATTGAAATATTTTCAAATTAGATAAAGTCCTTTTAAATCAAATCCATTTCATCAAAAATTCATATCCTTTACAGAAAATAATAGCTTATACGACAAAATGACCATTTGAAATTGACCATTAGATTTGAAAGATTCGGACAGGACATTCTATGAATAACAAACAGTTGGAGGTAAATTGACATAAACAGTGTAATGGGAAAAAGAGAGAGAGAGAGAGAGAGAGAGAAAAAAAACGGATAATAAAAACGAAAAAAAAAAAGGAAATACTTCAAACGGATCGGATAAAATGAAATTTTATGTTAAATTTAAGAATTCTTCCGGAATGTGTTCTTCTTTTTTCTTTTTATCTTACCTCTCCTTCTTACAATTGCTATCTGATATGATTGGCTTCTTTTATAATTAGTAGCAATTAATGAAGATAATTTCTTTTTTTTTTTCGTTTTGAAATGGTCCGAAAAATGAGAAGAACAAATTTGACAATTTTTATTAATGTTAATTTGAATTTAATTGAAGGGAAAAAAAATTGTTCGTGTAGTTTGATGTTCAAAAAGTTATTGCCGCATTTTAGGTAAATAATCGAATGAATCAATCATCAAAGGAATTGAGAAGAAAAGAATGAAATGAAATTAAAGCAAATAAGAAAAAGATATTTTCATCGATTTCAATTTCAATCGTTGTTGACAATTCAACACAAACTCAAATAGCTATCGTGAAATGGGGGAAAAAAAAAAGAGGGAATGATGATAATTCAATTGCGCATGTTTGCTGAAGATATTAGAATTTTTGAAATTTTCAAGAATTAATTTTTGAAATTGAAAATTTTGGAAAATATTTTTTTTTGAAATTAAAAATTTTAGAAAATATTTTTTTGAAATTAAATTTTGGAAAATTTGAAGTTAAATTTGGAAAATATTTTTTTTTTGAAATTCCATTTAATTCATCTGTGAAATATCATTTAATTAATTTGTTAATTATGAAAATTATCAAAAAGCATCATAGTTGATTAAAATAATTATAACTTAATAGTTTAAAAATTTGATTAATCAATTGAAATCTTTTTGATTGTATAAATTTTTATTAAAACAATAAACTTTATTAAAATATTAATCCCAATGGAAAATATTTAAATAGATCGTTTATCTTTTTAATGCTATTTATTACTTCTACATATATTATACTGTATATTACTTATTATTTAAGATGGTGAAAAAAATATATAACTTATCCGTTCTTCACAAATATTATCTTTTTTTTTAGACCTAAGAAAAACTAAATAGTAAGCCTTAAATAAATAATCATTTATCTCCCGATAATTACAAGATACAACTTAAACAAAATATATCATAATTTTATATCATATAATATAATTTACCAAAATAGATAGATTATCACTTAACAATAATAACATATTCATCATTAAATTTTTTCACATCAAAATTTTCCATCATTTAATTTAATTTTCATTTAAATAAACATCAACCAAAGTTTCAACTAAGTCATGTAAAATATACATTAATTTAATTATGCTAAATAAAATATACACTAATTTAATTATGCTAAATAATATATGCGTTAATTTAATTATGCTAAATAAAATATACATTAATTTAATTATGCTAAAATTAATTTGAAATAAAGAATATTTCAAAAGAAAAACAAAAAAAGGAATTAACGAAAAATATCTGCCATGAAAATTACAATTTCAAAAAAATTATATAAAAAGTAAAATAAGATGAGAAATAGGAATAGAAAATTTCATGAATGATTATCGTATAATTTTTAGGAATACAATTTCTCATAGGTTATTGTTACCAGCCTAAAATTGAAAGAAGTAAACAATAAACGAGTTATTGTTATTGTTATTTGTTATTGTTGTTTACAATTTCTTTTTTTTTTTGAGGTGAAATTTTCAGGCAAATCAGGTGAGAAAATATAATGTTTTTCTTTGATCATAACAATTAATCGGAAACATTTAAAGAAGATCAAAAAAAATGATTTACCATGAAAAGATGAGATTCTACCGTATACTCGAAGTTTAGTTGTAATCAAAAAATGACCCCCTATTGGTGAAATTAGGGATGAATCACATCGGGAGGATTTGGGAATTCTACTCGTTATGGAATATATATATCATTTATCTTTTAAGATATGAACATCATTGGAATAGCTAAATGAAAGCCGACAAATTAATTGATTTGAAACATTATCATTAGTACCAGTTTCCACAATTATTTCTTCTTTCAGATTCCAATTTTCGATCCTTTTCAATTAATAAATATTACAACAACATATCATGCAGTATAAAGCATCCGATACATAACAATTATTTAATTTAAGAATTAAGTTATTTAATTTATGTTAATTACTAAATGCAAGCCAATAAAAATTGATT